TAAATCAACTTGAGCTAGACGAGTTTGCAATTCTGTATAAACAAAGTTCTCAAGGATCTTTGATAAAAAGCATAAATTAAGCATTGGATGGAAGTTAGACATATCGTTGGCTGTCAAGGAAGGAGTTACTAAAGCTTGTTTTAAAATGGATGATAATATTCCAGATTCCAATGATAGATTCATTATTCCTTGAAGTTTTGTAGCCTGAGCTGGTAAACGTGCCCTTAGTAGCCAAATAGGAATTGGATGTAATGCATATGTTGGTGTTAACCCTATATTCCATCATAGATCTCTGACACTCACATCTGATTAAAGATCGTTGGTTAAAGGAGAAGACTAAAAACGCCATGAGTGGAGTATGCAGAGGAGTCAGTCAGTTCACAATCAGCTCTGAGGGCTTGTTCATAAAATGATTATAAACATCCACTGAAGAAGCTAAAAGGTTATTAATTGATCTCCCTACCTTTACAAACACGTCTGTTAAGAAGGGCTTCAGGATGATTCCTTCCTCTGGTAGTGACATGTGAGAATTAGACTGCCTTTGCTTTAAGGAGAACTTTGTGATATTCCAGCTGTTGCCATTTGCACTCCTCGAGAAGTGCACGCGTTCTCATTGAGCATCCTGTAGCTTCCAAGGATTGCCCACTTTTAATACCCTTGGTTCAGAGCCTAGGAGAATAAAAAGTCAACATAGCTACACTCATTTACACCAATTGAAAATCTGGCCCATATTTTAGAAAGATGCCATCTTGTGTAAAATAACATGCAGCTGCCACTGAGGAGGAAGATGAGTGTTGTCGATTCCTAATCTATCTGCACTTGGGCCAAATCCTGACATGGCTGTAGCTGGGAGAGGAAACAAGGCTGCTATGCATCTTCTGCTCCAGGGCTGCTGCCAGCCAGAGTTCTGTTAGTCAGGCCTGGGCATACTACTAGCTAGTGTGTTCATGACTGCAACACAAGCAGTAGCTGGTTGGACAGTAGATGGGGCATATCCCCTAACTAGAAAACCAAGCCCTAAGGTGCATGGACTGCATTGTGCTCTCTGCAGTGCCCTGCTGCTTGCACAGAACGATGAGATTCCCTAGACTCCTCTTCTCCTCTCCCCTTGCACACAGTCATGGGGCAGGTGGTAACCATTCATATGCACTGTATGTGTACAAGCTTTCTTACCTCCTTTTTGTGCCAAAGGATTTTTTTCTAAATCTTCAGAAAGATTTAGAAATTGAAATGAAATTATCTCAAACTGTCAATTTAAAAACGCATGCATTCAGAGGCTAGTAACACACTGTGTGTTGATGATATTAGAAAATACAGGAATGGGTGCCGCAGGAACAAACAAGTCAAAAATCCAGAGGTGTTCTATCCTTTCCATTCTAACTATCCCGCCGTCTCTGTCAGTAGCTAATGCTGAAACCTTCAGATGAAGGGAAGAGGGACAAAGAAAAGTGCACCTGATTGTGTACAATTTAGAGAAAATGTCTTCCTAACCCCAGCTGGTGATCAGCTTCAGCCCTGAAGTCTGAGGATTGATTGTCCTAGTAGCTAATTTTTACCCTAACAGCATGGGCTATTTTTGTTCATATAGGGGTCTTACTCCTTTTTTTGAGTATTGTATTGTGCAATGTGTTTCAGAGGTGAGTGATACCTGTATACAAAGAGTACTTCTTTATAACAGTTTAAAATGTATTGACTCCTATTCTTGTATTATGGAATAGAATCTCTTATATACCATTGAATATTTTATACTTCTATCATATTTCCTCTTGCTCTTCTCCCTTTTAGACCAAATGGCTCTCATTTGTAGCCCCGTGGCACCACACTAGTAAATCAAATGGCATCTTTGGCCCCACACTTGCAGCCCTTTTCTGAACCTAGTCTAATTCTTCTGTGTCTTAAACATAAGACAATATTTTGGATAAGACTGTTCCATCAATTTTCATGGTGATGATCTGACATTTTCCATATTACTCTTTAGGCTGGCTGTACTAAGAATGATAAAATCAGACAGCTTAAAATCTTAGGCTTGTGGGTACATCCTGTCCTCTGCTGCACTAGGGTAGGTAGGAGTGAGGGACGGAAGATGATACAGAAAGACTCTTCTGCTGAGCAGAGGCAGAGAGGACACTTCCATAGGGCACAGGAGAATCCAGATCCAGCACTACCTGCACACTACGCTCTAAAGATCTGAGAGCTAGGAGGATTGTCTAGTCTTCCAACCAGCCAAGTGTGCATGCCACAGTCAGAGAAGCTGTGAAGTACTTCCCCAGCATGTGATCCTAGTCTGCCTGATAGAATCCTTCCCTGGCCTAGAGAAAGAACTAAACAGCATTTTTGTTCCCTCTTACTGCACTAGCCAGGGGAGGGTTTGGTCCTTAATCACTTTTTGATTGCTGCTGCACATTAAACAGATGACTTAATTAAACTGTCCAGAGTATTCAGAGGGAATGCAGACAGGACCAAAAATTATTTCATCTCATTTTCAAGAATCAATTCAGGGCTAACCCAACCCAAGTTTGTGTATAAATATTGCTTATTCTTTTATCTACAAAATATGACTCCAAGACTACAAGGTGTTACTAATGTGAGTAGTCCTATTGGCTTCAATGACCCTACTCGGGTAAGTTAGCCTTGCCAAATCAGGCATATAAATAATAGAACTATAAATGTTGAAATGTAACAGTTCTATGTGTTTTCAGTATTTTTACCCATTTCTACTTCCTCTGCAAACAAAAATGTCTCTACATTATTTTTCCTCTGCAATTTTATGTATCTCACAAAACTGGCAATCAGTGTCCCTAAGGTATATGAATGGATTTCAGTTTACCACCTATAAATTACTGGCTACAAACTAAGAAATAATGACTTTTTAAAAATAAAATTGAATCCTTGGCTAAGTACAGGTCTACCTCCTATTGGTCTGATTCTCCAAACACATACACATGGGTAACTTTATTTACAGGAATATTTCCACTAACTTCAGCTGAACATATTTAAACCCACTTGTAAGTGTTTTGGGGAAAGAAGCCCAATATTTGTAAAATCAAAAACTTGGTGGATGTAGCAAGAGTTCTGTGTAATTCTTCTTTTAGACACATTTTGATGATGAAGTTGGCGACGGGGGTAGGGGCGGGGGGAGATTTCTAACTACCATCAGACTACACAAAAGCTGGCAACAGCCAAAAGTGCTCACCATCAATGCAATGTATCCAGTTTGCCAACTTTACTTTAATTGTCTGTTAATTGCCATTGTAGTATTACTCGTTAGACAATTAGAATAGTTTTAACAGTGTACACCAAATGGAGCCCTGGAGTAAGCAGTTACAGCCCACATTGATGTCAATGAATTTTACCCATTTATACCAGGTATGTTTAGCCCAGTGTCTTCTGAAGCTTCTGATCCAAGGAAAGAATATCTTTCCTTAAAAACTCCTGTTTGAATGTAAACCACATTTTGACGGGGTAGATTCTGGATAGCCCTTACATGGCTGTACAGTGGTATTGGAGAGGGATAAAGGGCTTTCACCCTTCTTCCTCCTTGTGTGACTTATTTATGGGCCAAGCAGAATTGTGCCCCTGCTGTCCAGGGAGCTCCAGAGCTTTCCCATTCCTATTGGACCCTCGACACCCCACAGTGGGTGGGGAGACGACAATGACAGGACTTTGACGCTACTGTGCACTGATCCAGTGAAGCTGAGTAAGCTGCATCTTCCAGAGGGCTATGGCAATGGGTACACTGCCTCTGCAAACATAGAATGCTCTTGGAACTCCTATTTCCCCAAGGAAGAATAGCCGTCATTGCTCCCTAGGGAGCAGTGTAATGCCGCATTGCCCTGTATTAAGGTTTGTGGCTAAATGGCACAGTCTAGCCCTTTGCCTTATGGAAAATATAGGCAACAACTGTGCAAATGACACTTGCTCAACGTTTCTTACTTGAACTTACTGATTAAAGAGTTCTCTAACCAAGCCAGTCTAATCAAAGCGAAGAGGCTATTTGCAGTGGTATAACTCCATTCTTCTCCAATGGAGGTTCTCCTGATCAGGCAACTATGCAATTTGATGAGTAAAGTGAATTCAGTCTTCTAAAGTAAACACTGAGCCCCTTAAAGAAATATTTTTGACACATAGGGATGACTAATTAACTTAAAAACCCTAAAATAAAATTCAATAAATACAAGCATTTTGTTGTTGGTAATTGCATTTAGGTCCTGATCCAGCTCCCAAGGAAGCTAACTGAAAGTTTCCATTGACTTCAATAGGAGTTGGATCAGGCATTTAAAAAGCCAAAATATTGAGACATTAAACAGATATATATATTAATACGTGATACAAATTGTAATGCATGACATATCTCAGTGTTTCTCAGTGACCAGTTCATGGACCGGTGTCGGCCCTGAGATCTCCCTGACAAAGTTTAGGAAGGCAGCAGGCCAGTCCCTGATATCAAAAAGGTTGAGAAACACTGAAATCTGGTTTGAATGGGCATTTATTCTAAAATTGAAAGTTTGAAATAGTTTCTTTTAATTGATCTACAATTCAACATTCTGATGTATATTCTACACTTTGTAGAATATTTATATCGGCACATTGGTCCCTCTAAGTGTCTTACTGTATTTCTGAAAATGAAAACTAATCAGATTAACTGATATCATACCAATGGAATGCTAAGGATGAAGCATTTAAAGTATTGCAATATTCTCACTTTTCCAATGAGAAATATAGCAGTGAAGATATCGTTTAATAATCTTGAACCTACTATTTAATAATTGTCATTAAAAATCTGTAGATCCACACAGCAAGAATGCTGTTAAAATGGCATTACTGGCACTACAATTAAATATATTAAGTTTGATTGTATTTTAAAATGGACATGGTCCAGCTGGTTTCTCTTACTGCCAAATGTCACATGGATTTCAAAAAATGTTTAGTGTTGCCATGTAATGGATTAAGTGATAAATTCTGTTTTGAAAGCCATAGTAACACTATTCCCTCCTTTTTAGACACTGCCAGAAGCCATGGGGAACAGAGCAGGATTTTACAGCACATTCAGGCTTCCTTCAGGATTTGGTTTCTGATGAACACAAGTGCTTTTTCCTGTCAAATGATACAAAAACATTGGTAGTTTACATGTTGAGTACATCCTGCCTGTCTACAGTCGCAGCTGATAAAATGTACACTCACTAATGATTCTGTTGGAGATACAAATATTTTTCTGGATCCTAAATTGCAGTTTTTGTGGGGAAAGGTTAATATAAATTGCTCTCCATGGTTTCTGCCCTTTTAAAGAGCCTGATCTCATCTTACATATATAAGATTTACAAAGGAATGTTTACAAAGAAATTGGGAAATAGTACAAAAAAGAAAGAGAGTTGTCAGAGCAAAAAGGAACAAGACTTAACCCAGGTCGGACAGACAAAGAATCCAAAGTTTTCAAATACTTTGAAAAGCACCGTTAAAAAGATTGCAAAGTGTTCATCTGCTCGCAACTTGTCAACTGAAGAAGAGGAAGGTAATAAAGAATTTTCACTTTCTCCAACATTCAGTTACAGAGTTGCTATTGCCAATGGACTACAAAAGAGTATTTTTGTAACAAACAATAATAATGAGGAATTATTTCAAGATATCTCTTCAAATGATAGTTCATATTCTGAGTCATTAAGTGAAGTAAAGGGTAGCAGCAGGAAAAAGGAGTATTTATCACATACAATGCCTGTGAGACGCAACAGAAAGAGTTTGAGCAGCCTTGCTCCATCAGATGGGAGCTCTGATGGTGAACGTACTTTGCATACCCTAAAGCTAGGAGCTTTACGAAAACTAAGGAAATGGAAAAAGAGCCAAGAGTGTGTCTCATCGGACTCAGAGCTGAGCACATGGAAGAAAACATGGGGCCTAAGAAGCAAGTCATTAGACAGAACTGGTCGTCACCAGAAATCCAATGCCCTTGAACCAGGTTTTAGTTCAACTGGGTGTATTAGTCAAACGCATGATGTTATGGAAATGATCTTTAAAGAACTTCAGGGAATCAGTCAAATTGAAACAGAACTTTCTGAATTAAGAGGACACGTAAATGCTCTGAAACAATCCATTGATGAAATTTCTAGTAGCGTAGAAGTTGTACAAAGTGAAATTGAACAGTTGCGAACTGGATTTGTACAGTCCCGAAGGGAAACTCGAGACATTCACGACTACATTAAACAAATAGGCCACCCAGGAAACAAAGCAAGTCTTAGGTTTTTAAATGTGCCTGAAGACAGGTTTGAAAATATTGAAAATGTGGTTTACAGAATTTTAATAGACAGAATGGGGTTCTCAGAGGCACAAAACATGATTAAAATTGAATTGGCCCATAGATTAGGGCAACAAAGAGACTGTCCCAATGCAAAGCCTAGACCCATACTTGTATACTTTGAAACAGCACAACAGAGAGATTTAATTTTAAAAAAATCTTATAAACTTAAAGGAACCGGCATTGGAATTTCTACAGATATCCTTTCCCATGACATGAGGGAGAGAAAAGAGAGAGGACTGCCTTCCTCTCAGACATATGAAAGTATGGATATGAAACCAGAGCCCAAAACTAAAAAACATGACTGGGTATCACCTGATGACAGTGATAAAGAGCCGGAATCGGATATAAATAGGAATAGTTATGCAAAGATATCAAAATCAGCATTTCAGATAAAAGCGAGCACTACAAAGGGAAGTGTGGAGTCTCCAAATACCAGAATCCCTAGTAGGACTGTTGGTGGCAGCACCTTTCCAAATAAAACAAATTATGGTGAACAGTCACCAGAATTTGACAATGTGGATCAGCAATCAAAGACCTACTATTCAGATATGCCACCTGTATGGCATTCACAGAATGATTTTACAACTCCCAAACTTAGCCGTTCGGAGTCAGATTTTTCAAAATTGTGTCAGTCTTACTCTGAGGATTTTTCTGAGAATCAGTATTTTAGTAGAACGAATGGCAGCTCACTATTGTCTTCCTCAGATCGAGAGCTTTGGCAGAGAAGGCAAGATGAAACGTGCAACTGGTATGGTAGCTCTCAAGATCAGACTTTTAACCAAGATATGCAGCTTTATCCAGAGCAAAATGAAGCTGAAAACACTGAAACAGTTGACAGTGGTGTAAGCAATGGAGTAATGTGTGTATCTGGAGACAGAAGCCATTATAGTGATTCTCAATTCACCTTACATGATGATCTTTCACCATGGAAAGACTGGAATCAGTTGGATCAAGGCACAGACTTGGGCCTAGATTCATCCACACAAGAAGCTTTTGCTTATGATATGAGCAGCCCTTCAGACCAACAGATAGATTTTGGAAAGTGCCAAAGTTCTGACCTCCAGGATGATGCTGAAAGCTATGACTTTACCCTTGGTGGTAATTCCCCATCATGTCCCGGCCTTGACAGTGAAACACAAAGTCAGTGGATCAGCCAATATGATGATTATCAGGAAACAAATTCTAATTCCCTTTATCAAAATCAAAACAGATTGCCCATGATGTATAGAAGTCAAAGTGAACTACCAAGTGATGAATCGGAGGAAGCACCTCCTAAATCATGGCATAGTCGACTAAGTATAGACCTTTCTGACAAGACATTCAGCTTTCCTAAATTTGGATCTACACTTCAGCGTGCTAAATCAGCCCTGGAAGTGGTCTGGAACAAAAGCACACAAAGTTTAAGTGGATATGATGATAGTGGGTCATCTTTTATGGGGAGATTTAGGACTTTATCCCAGTCTACTGCTAATGAATCAAGCACAACCCTTGATTCTGATGTTTATACAGAGCCTTGTTATTACAAAGCTGAGGATGAGGAAGATTTAAGTGAGCCAGGTGGTGAGAATGAAACAGATTACGTAGAAGTAATGGAACAAGTTCTTGCTAAACTAGAAAATAGAACTAACACCAATGAAACTGATCAACAGGTACAGGAGTATGAACTTGAACAGTTTTCATATGAAACGCCATACGCAACACTACAAGAAGATGAATATGACCAGCAGTTTGACAAACTGACCATCGAAGATGGGTTGGAACCTGCAGAAGATATAGCTGCTGAAACAGAAGTCAGGGGAGATGAAAATCAAAATATCCCAGTGATGCCTATTGAAATTACAAAGAAAAAGAGACTACGCCCATCATTTAAAGACGCTGCTTTAAAAGCCTACAAGAAGCAAATGAGTGAGTTGGAAGAGAAGATCCTTGCTGGAGGTACTGATTAAATATTGTCTAGTAAACAAACTTTGCTGTCATAATTAAAGATTACCCTTATTTTCTATATAGGGCCCAATCCTTCTCCCATAGAGTTCAATGACAGAATGCCCATTGACTTCAGGAGGAACAGTTATTAGATTCTTTAATAAAATTCATATTTTCAGTCTTGGGGTGAAATCCTGGCCCTACTGAAGTCAACGGGAGTTTTGCAGTTGACTTCAGTGTATTCTTAGACTATATTCTGGAAGTCTGATTTGAATATGTTTTTGTTAGCTTTAATATGCCACACAGATGATTTAAAAACAATTTAAATTTTGTATTGTAAATGAATAGTGGATGAAAAATCAGCATTGTTTCATTAGGTTAAACTCTCAGTTAAATTGACTATGTAGTCTGGTTTTAATTAATACATTTTCACACAACTTTATAAGTGGAATAGCTAGGAACAACCCCAAGTGTTCTAATATGACAGTATTTTTCCAGCCACCTTTCATATAGATGATTGGTTTTATGCTCATCTTGATGACCATGTAGGTTAGATCTCTGAGCAACATAACTTTCTATGCTACCTTAATTAGTATATAAATCATTGGTCTGAATTCTGTTCTTAGTTAAATTAATACAAGCCCATTGAAGTTTGTCCTGAGATAATAATTAAAAGGGGGAAAAGGTATATGTGATATCTTCAGTGTAAATGAAAAATATGGGGCTTGTATCATGCTTATGTCAGAGATTGCACATACAGACACAATATGGTCCACTACCTTTATTTTCCTTATTAATGGCTCCATACTCAAATATCCTTTCAATGGGTATATGATTATAATTACTGTAGTAATCCACAGAAGATAGTCCATTCTTAATATTTCATATTTTGAATCTATTCATGTACTTGGACATTCGCAATTAATTAGGACTACATAATTACTATGACTAGCAGATGGTAATTGTCACCTTAACTGAATCTTTGCTCAGTTGCTAATAGTTGCTATGAAAAAATATAATCTGATACTTTCACTTGAAAGATGAAGAATTGTGCCTTCAGCTAAAGAAATTTATTTTGTAGTAATTAGTGCCTCAGAAGCTTTGAATGTTATGAAGTTCTTTTGTACTTAGAAAACTATTTTTATAATAAATGTGCAGTCAAATTGAAAATATGTTGCATAGCCAAATAAGTACCATTCAACTAGACTTCATGTTGGATTTAAATGATAACACTTCTCATAGGTTGGCATTTTTCAGACATTTCTTCAATACTATGCTAGAAACCAGATACTGTATTTATGGAAAATGGGTCAGCAGTTTGACATATATTTTCGTTTCTCTCCAGGCTCATTACTACCAACCAAAACTTAAAGACAGTAAAAGTAGTTAATCAGGATGCTAAGACAATATTATTGAATAGGGACAGGAAAAAGGTTAGAAAAGCAATTGTTAAGGAAGCTACATATAGAGAATATAATAGAGTGAAACCCATATTAAAGACCACTGCTAGTAGGCAGAGCCCAGGTCTTAGAATATAGTCCCAAACAAATGAAAAGTTAGATGTGTGTTTTATCTCCTATGATCAGCTTTCTGAAATGCAGAAAAAGTGATCCCTCGCTCACTCCTGCAAGTGAAAGGATGTCCACTGAAGGCATTTAAATAGAATAAATCTACTGAAGGCTTCCTCTTAATCAGAAATCTGGTATTTCTATTGTAAATTCTTGAACCATTACTGATGGTATGTTAAAATCTCACAGAGATGGAATTTTTGTTCTGTGTACCTGGCTATTCGCCAAGGGACCAGTGTGTGGGGATGGGGACACCGAATCCTATTCCCTGGATAGAGGACTGTGGGGCACAGAGCACTCACATATTTATGGCATATGAGGCCCTGGGCTGTAGTTTTGGCCAGGTCTATTCCATGCACCATGAGGAAAGTGCATGGGAACCAGAAGATCTGTGTAGTTGGCAGACCAGCTGGTGACATTGAGGCTACTCCCCTGGCCTGTCCACGACCCCTGTGAGCACAGAGTGAGCCCTCTCAGAGATTGGCTCTGCATCATGATGTCTGTTGTTCAATAATGTCTGAATGGTTCCACTGTTTTGTCCTTTCCCCACCCGCAAAGGGAGGACATGGATTGCACCCATAATTGGTCATTGTTAGTGATTAAGATGTAGGAATTCTCAATTCCTGCCCTTTATTGCACCGGGCCATATTTTCTAACAAAACCTAACTGCCCATTGTGCTTGGTTTTAATGGTTGATGTAATATTTTATGTTAAATGGGCTGCTTCACTTGGATCTACATGCTTACAATATACGCTGAATTTACATGTTTCTAGAATACCCAGTAGTATTGCAGGAGCCCTGATTTTAAACTTGCAATATATATGTAACAGTTGGGATCTTTTTATTTTCAAACCTATGTTAAAATTTCCTTCTCTGTGTTTTCTATTTGCTGAGTAACAAACGTTTCTGTCACTGTTACTGTTTCAGCCAAATCTCTTTTTTTCATGATTTTTCAATGAGCAGGAAGATGGTGGTACAGTAAGATTTCATTCCCAGATAAGGGAAAGGCATTATTAGAGCACTTTGTATCTGTATCTGAAGAAGGATGTCTTTTTAATACCATTTTCCCAAAGAAAGAAAACATTAAACTCCAATTTGTGTTTAAATTACATGGAAGTTTTGAAGTATTTTAAAATAAGTATAGGAAACAAAGAAGCATATTAAGCTTTATAGCGCCTTGCCAGGCTGCCAATTTTCAAACCACTTTTGTTTTTTAGAGGCTGATGCTTGCCTGGCCAAAGAGCATTAAAATTCAATTAGCTAATTAAGCAGGATAGTTTGGGGCATTACATTTATATTTGCAGTAACCAGTTATATTTTTTAAAGAAACGTGAATAATTTAGGGCTGCATTACTTCTGCGAATAGCTTGTTGATTATTTTCCCCTGTAACTGTGATTTATATCAGCTTGTGATTTCTTATTAATGGATAAAAGAGTGTTGGTCTCAGTTCAGCTGTTTGAAAGAATCCTTACTATATCACCAGCGCATAAAGCGCACCATTTAAAGATTCTCTCAATCTCTTCTTAATGGCCATACGGATTGATGGATGGCATGTTGCTCAGCCAGAGATACTACTAGATAATATAATAGTATCATTACTCCAAATTACTCCAAACAGCAAAGCTCAGATAAATAAGTACATTCTGTTGTTTCACTCCAGTAACTCATGAGTTAAAGGTCACCAGGGACCTTTGGATATAAATAAGAATTCCTCTATAGTGTTCCCATTTGATGGTCTCATTCTCTCTTTATAGCAAGAGAGATAACATATACAGTGGGCTCACTGCAGATTATTATTTATTTCCACAAGTTCCTGTTGACCTGCTGAAGTGAGAGTAATCAGATGTATGTATGAGAGGGAAAGTGAATAACACACAGATAATCATAAGATTTAAAAGTTTTATAAGCTCATTTTAGGATGTTTTGTACCACAAACTACAGCACTGTTTGTGAAACCATCCAAACTCAAGATTTGTATGCTGTGTAAGAATAGATGGGTACCAAGAGCAGTATCAGGAAAATAATGCCTAATAGTCTACTTCAGACAATATTTCACAATCAAGAATTATTCTAGCTCTTTGATTTACTGCTATTTCCTTTCTCCTAACCTGTTAATATTTGTAATAATCTTGTCAGATTTGGGGGGCCTATACTGTTTCCTCTCCCCAGGCTCCCTTTCTGCTCCTAACTACATGTTCCCTAACTATTCCCCTTTTCCTTCCTCTCTTCTGTTTTCTGAAGCTCTCTCAGAGAGGGGCTCTCTGGCCAGTACCGATCCTCTCCCCTCTGGAGCTAACACTTTGGGGATCAGATCCCAGAGATCCAACAAATGCAAATCTGGTAGAGGCAGCTTTTGGTGCAGGGGCCATGTGAGGGGTGGAACATGAAGGATCAGCGTAGCAAAGTTCCACTAAGTCAGAAAGGCAACATAACCAGTGTGTTTCTACTGCACAAAAGGGGAAGACTGGGTGTGGGGGGAACCACATCAAAGATGAGAGTGGGCTGGGCATGGTCAGGCCAGGGGACCTGCTATTGTGTGGGTCCTCCAATTCGGCACTGGAGAAGAAGTGTGTGTGAGTTCATTGGGCTGGAATCACCTCCGCCAAGAAGCTAGGAATGTGCTCCACAGGCGTGAGGAAGGATTCCTGTCCCTGTGATGCATCTGCTTAGTGCCAGGCCCATCTACTCAGACTGGGAACTAGGCTCTGGGTTTGGCTATTCAAATTTATGTAATGATTTTTTCCACCTATTAGGGGCTTAGTCAGTCAGACCCTTCCTACGTAAGGAACTAGAGGATTTATGGGAACTGTACCATGATCTCTGAAGCCCTGTAAGGCTGGGTGGAGTGGCTTTTCCACTCTGTTGGGTTTCTGGTGCTGCTGTGAGGAGAGGGGAAAAGTAGGTTCCATTAAAAGGCAAATGTTTCCATACAATTACCTCATGCTGGCATGAGATAACACAGTAATTCTCCCTACACTTACAATAGGACAGCTGTTCTCAAACTATGGGTCGGGACCCCAAAGTGGGTCGTGACCCCATTGTAATGGGGTCACCAGGTCTTGCATTAGACTTGCTGGGGCCCAGGGCCAAGCCTGAGCCCCAGGGCTGAAGGCCAAGCCTGAACCCCAGGTCTGAAGCCAAAGCTCAAGCCCCACTGCCTGGGGCCAAAGCCCAAGGGCTTCAGCCCTGGGTGATGGGGCTCAGGTTTTGGCTTTGGCCCCATGCCTGGGGTGTTGGGGCTTGGGTGGGCTCAGGCTTCAATCCCCCCCTGGGGTCATGTGTGTCATTTTTGTTATCAGAAGGCGGTTGCAGTGCAATGAAGTTTGAGAACCCCTGCCAAATACTCTAGTATCTGAGACACCACAGTGCAGTAACAGTGAGGAAATAATAATGCTTTTTAATAGTGAGTGGCTGTGGATTGTGCCGTTTTGCATGTCTTTTG